AATGCTTTTTTTCTGCCTATTGCGCCTCGCCTAAACGTCGCTGTTCCGGTATCCACCTTTCTTGACGATACCTCTACACACGATGTTGTTCTTGACACACAAGAATACGGTACTAACTTTAGTCCTCTTAGTAAGTATCATTTTTTATTTGGCTTTAAAATGTTCTATTTACTTAATCTGTTGTCCAAATTTCAGGCTCGAGTATCACCACGAACGTTATTAATCCTGTCGCTAGAACTTCTCTGGCGGATTCTTTGGATCTTTCTGTAGGAAATGAGGCGAAAGCCCAGTGTAATCTTCTTGGTTTGCTATCATCTTCTTTGTTTGATGATTTAGAGACTTCGCAAAGGCCAAACTGTGCTAAACCTAACTCATCTTCCTCTAGCCTTGTCGGCAAATCTTTTTCTGGTGTTTTAGTTCGAGATTCAGATGTTGGAATTAGTAAATCTTTACCACTTTCAAGCAGCTCTCTTGCTCGAGTTGATCCAAGTGATCAAGAGGAAAGTGATGATGATGAACTATCGGGTCAACAAGTAACTTCTGAAGTCGTTATTTTGCCTGAGAGCATCGTAGCTGTCCAGGAGAGCTGTTTAATAGAGGGGTCTTCAGTGATGGAGGATGAAAAACTTGCCTCTTGCAAGTAGGATACATTTGCTTTACACTTTTTGATGTTTCATTTTCCCTCCCTATTCTAGTTCCGTGTTTATATTAATATACACATTTTTCAACTTTTTTTTGTTTATGGCGCAAGTAATTCTGCAGTTCTTTTTATTTTGCTCGCATTCTTTGTTTAATTACATATTAGTGCAAGGAGTTTGTTCATTCTATCCTTAGACCAGGTATTACTAAGGGGTGACAGATTTAGTCATTAACTTTAAGTTAGAACTGTTTTCTTGTGTTAAATGGCGTGGCCTAAATTTTGCCCATCACTACTTATATTAAGGCCTACATTGGTATTGATTATACGCTTTTACTGTAATTCACTACTTTCTAAAAACAATTATTTAAGAATAGTCACTAAAGAACAACTTTTCTCTTCAGATAAACT